TGTAATTTGAGCTGTTTTTCCATGCCTGGATATTGTCTTCCTGCACACTAAACACAACAGAGAGAAGTCCCTATATGAGTTCTAGAAGGAAAGAAATATTAGCAAACCTTGTTCTTCACTGGATGTGAGACTTCTGAGCTAGTCTTGTGAAAAATGATCACAGAAGAGTACTTAACCTGTCAGTCTTCTAATGGGTAATCTTCAGTGTTCTCAAGCCCACCAGTGGCTGAGAGGGCATTGCCAGTCACTTGCTATAGACACCAAAGGGGATTTGTCGTGTGCACAATCAGATACTTAGAACTTCATCACCAAGGTATTACACAGCTTTGTTTCTGTTACTGTCACATGCAGTAACTCACTCTTCTGCAGTTTCCCTTGCACTGATAGTTTATCTCTCCTGTAGCTAGACGTGTCACTCCGCATCTTGAAGCAGGAGCTCTAGAGGTGTACAACCTGGAAACTGCATGGCCCCACAAGTTAGGAAGGGGTCACAGTGGGCTTAATCTCCTGCCATTGTCATCTTGAAAGGTCCACTCATTCTTTTCACAAGGGAACTGCATTTTATTTTTACAAATTATGCATCTGCTTCTGTCCAGAAAACAACCCCACTTCAAGGGTGAATTTCTATAAAGACTTGTCCATACACCTGGCATGGGAGCCATCACACAATGTTTCTGAGTCCAGCTGTGTTACAGTGATTATTTTGGCCATCATTCACTTTGCAAGGTGACTGTCACAAGCCTGGGAGTGTAAGCAGCCTCTAAATTCTTTTGACATTTTATTACATGTAACTGATTTGACCAAATGTTATGTTTTGACCTTAACTATACTTTATCATCTCATTAGCAACTGTGTAGACAGGCCTACCCCCCTTTAAAGTTCCTTCAAGTTTATAAACACCTGCATCCCCAAAACACTGATTCAAAACTTTCCCATGGCATGGACTTAATGCATTAGGTCGAATTTAACATTTTCTTGAGCACAATTTGATTAAGGATATGCAGGGTTTTGATATATGCTAAGCCCTATGACTTCCTTTATTAAAAACTCATACCACACCCTGGACCTGAGCTGGTCAGTGGCTCTTACTTGAGATGCAAAAACAGCAACTGAACATCCATCCACAAGGGAGGGAAGTTATTTTCTTAGCCTTGACAATTTGAAAGAGCTCTCCTTAAGGTGAGTGACAAAGGGGAGATCTGTAAACTCTGCATTCATCTCTGGATAGCCCATCACACCTCAAGCCATTTCTTCCATTGTAATTGTCACTTTCTACCTATCCACATTGGATCTTGACATAGAACTGTCACTGGTCCTGATACAATGATTGCTCACTGGCTCTCTAGAAACCTGAGATCAAAAGTGAGTTCATCACACATTGTTAGCAGATATTGAGGCCTTCTCTTGAAGGTCAGGGTTGCAGTTCAGTTGGTAGAATACTTACCTAGCATGCACCAAGTCCCAGGTTCGATCCTCAGTACACACAAACCAGGCATGGTGGCATACAATGATAAGCCCAGCATTTGGGAGGTTGAAACAGGAGGCCAGAAGCTTAAGGTCACTCTTGGCTGAGTTTAGGCCAGCCTAGGTCATATGAAAACCTTTTTCCAAAAAGAAAAAAAATGGCTTGGGAATGTGGCTTCATGATAGAGAGCTTGCCTTGGCCCTGCCAGGTTCAGTCCTCAACACCAAAAGGAAAGGAAGAAAATCTCTTGGTGAAGACCCCTCAAAGACAGTTCAGGAACTCAAGTATGGAGTATTGCAATGGCCTGTGTGTTGGTAAAGGGTAACAAGAGACATATCATCGTGATCTACCATGGCTAACAGAGTGGCACACGTCTTGTTTCTCTCTTGCTCCTCCTGAATTCATGTCTAGAGACTGTGTTTCAAACATGATCTTTATTTAATTGCTCAGTTCCCAGGGAATATTAACTTAATAGTTTCACCCAGATTCACATTCATTTCAAACTAACAGCATAATCCAGCCACAACTATACAGCGCATGACAAAAATCATGGACAGAACTGACTGTAGCCAGGCTGTGGATACATGGGAGCAGATAGCCCTTGTCTCACTCAGCATCCACAGTGGGACAGACTTTCTCACAGTAGCCATTGCTCTGCCTGGCCACATTTCTTCACATTTCTTCAGTCTGTGCATCCACAGCACCCAAAATAGTAAACATCACACAGTTTCTTCAAAACTAAACTTCACAGACCACCCCTAGGCACCAGGGCAGTTCTGATCCGCAGTTATGGCAGATCCTTGCCCTCTGTGTTTCTGCAGTTTAGAAAACAAAGACTGAAAGTTTAATTCCTTATTTTCAATTTGCCTCTCCACATTAATAAACTCTACAGTTCTTCCTAATTCCTGGGTGTGAATTAAAGATCAGGGTCACCTTGGAAACACTGCAGATGCATCATTGCTGTTCCGTGCATCTACTAGAGCCTGCGGGCCATGACCTCACCCAGCAGTCTGGAACTTTCTCTGTACAGGCTAACATAATCTTCTCTTTCCTTCAAAATGTTTTCAGTATTTGATAGTTACACATTTCATCATTTCATCTACTTAGTTAACAAATATTTATCAAGCACTCACTGTGGGTAGATACTGAAGGGCACAGATTTGCTCCAGTCCCTGTACCGGTGTGTTGGGGGGTGGGGGGAGCAGTGTGAATGTAACCTTTCATTGGCTCTGAGCTTTCTGAAACTCAAGCACCCAGCCTGCGCCTCTGTTCTAAACTCCTATTTGTTGACTAAATGCACTGGCTGGACTTCATTCTTTAAATGGAGATTTCTAATTAGCAAATACATTCCAAAGTCAAAGGGCTAAACCAAGCGTGTCACCAGCCAGGCAGAAGTGGAAAACAGAAATCTCTCTGATAGGTAAGCAGCTCTGAGGAAAACCGCCCCCCCCCCCCTATGATGGCCATCCTGCCAGGTTGGGAAATGTGAAAGGATTGCTTTCATACAGGCTGCCTCAGAAATGGTCACAGCTCTGCTGCAGTTTGTCATGGCACAGGTCTGCTTGCACCAGGGGCTGACAAGAGCTTGTTAATGCCAAAAATGTTTCTCCCTTTCTCCAAGCTCTGGCAGCTAAATGTCATTGATATGACTATCTCAGCCTCTAGTGGGAACAACACCCATCTCACTTTCCTAGAATGCAGCTAGGTACAAATCTCCAGGAGCAACAATTCACCTTTTCAAATTGCAGAGTCCAGGAGTGGCTGAGTGGAGAGAATGCAGCTGCTACAAAACAAGGAAAATACAGACAGAAATCTGTGCAAACAGAGGAGGGGAGAGCTGTTGGTGTTAGCTGAGAATTTCCTCTTAGCTGCGGCCATGAATGCTCTGCAAGCTTCAAGGCTCTGTAGAGCATCTAATAAGTTTTAAATACAAGATCCAAAAACATAATTCTATCTGGTGCAATCCAAGTCTGTGAATTTACTGGAGAAGAATGAAGTCAACTGCTTAGAAATCTTTTGCTCAACAAGAAATGCATGTCACTGTGGCCGAAAAGAGCTGATTCTAATGCTGAATGAAATTTGTTTTTAAATGGTTATTTTATCCAGAATCATTGTTTTTTAATGACACTACCTTAATTTGCTGCTAAGCCTTTTTCATCAATAGTCACCCAACATTAATATTTATTTTGTTCATTTAATTTTAAAGTATGCTTAAATTAGAGCTCTTACAAAGATTCCCCTGCTACTGAAGGCACTACCATAAAAAATACCGTGGAAATCTTGATCAGTGTTACAGTAGTACTCTAGCTCAATAACAAGACATGGGAAACAGTTTCAGTAGATTAGGAAATCACCATTCTAATACACCTTTTTTAGTAAAAAATGTGCTTCTTCATCTTGTATTTCACATTGTAATGATAATTAAACTCAAGAATCACCTCATGTTAAAACATTCCCTATGTACATATTATCTTTCTTTTAAAATAAAGTCTTCAGCATTCAACCCACATTTGTTGGCTTTCCAGAATCTCATAATAAATTACTGTAAAATAAAGCTGCAAGAATACTGGACTTGTACCATATTTAATATAATATACAATATACAACTTTACTGTCTGTTTTTCCTACTTGGGTTTCATAATTTTTTATCACAACACACCATACAGAATACTTCAGTACAATATGAGTTCAGGGTGTAGGAGTATAACCACTGCTGGAAAATTCAATTTTTTTCTCCTTGGAAAATACCAAATCTCAAAATCCTACACACTAATCCATTTTTATTTCTGCTTCCTCAGAATCCTTTCAGTACCTAAAAGTTCTTAGCTAAAATCCTACACTGTCTGCAGCATGTACTTTGATTTGCAAATTTGCCTTTAGGAAATGAAGGGACATCATATCTCCAGGACACCCCAAGTCCCAAGCAAACTATTTCAAATTCCTGGCTTTAGTATTATTAGTTTGGATGGGACATGAGGGGGAGAAGAAAACCTGCGAGTGGCCCTCTGGTCCTCAGTTAAAACTTTGCTTTAATATGCCTCCTGATACCATGGCAAGGACAAACACACTCAGATATATCTGTCATTCCACTAACTTCAGAAATATATATATATATATATTTATACCTTTAAATTTCTCTCTTTTTTTTCTGAACCAACTTCAGAACAAAAACACCAGTCTCTGCTTCAAGGTACCCTGTCTCTCAACTCACAATACAGAAGTAATCAAAACCGAATGCCTTCAACTCTCAAGGGCTTGTTTCTTCCTTTCTCTACTCAAAGCTGAACAGGGAGTAGTGTGTGCTTTCTTTCTCTGCCCTGCTTGGTTTTCCCTGTAGAAGACTAGTTCCACTCCTGGGCACCTGGCAAGCTGTGGTTTACATGTGACTAAACAACTCCCAGTTATTATCAAGGCAGAGGCTTCTCCCAGCTTAGCTGTCCCCCAAGTAGATGGCTGGAAATGCAGGGGGAGGAGGGGAGCAGAGGCCACCGGAAGACAAGTAACGCTGGTAAATCCAGAGCAATGGAGGCAAATATTAAAAAAAAGAATATCATTTATTATCTTCTTTATTAATACTCACATGTAACCTTTGCTGTTTACACAAAAGTCTACTTTTGAAGAATGCCTCCATGGTTTACCAGCCCGTGTGGGGGCTTTCTGCTCTGGGACCACTTCCCCCTTCTCCACCCACCCCCACCCCACATCCAAATTAATCTTACACATTCACAGATACCACAAAAAATTTGTAAACAAGATTTGGGTTACTGGAACTTGATTTAGCAACATTCCTCTTCAATATGGAGGAAAGAAGGGGGAGAGGATGAGAAGGGGAGAGGGAGAAGAGGCAGGGGGCACGCAATTTGTCAGTACTTTCAAGTCTTGCCTTTTTCTGAGGTGTGTGTGTGTGTGTGTGTGTGTGTGTGTGTGTGTGTGTGTGTGTGTGTGTGTGTGACCGTGCACGCATGTGCGCGTGTGTTGAGGCTGTTCTTTGAAATTCACTGACTCAAAACGTTGACAGCAAGTGCCTGTGTGGTTATTTATATTATATATCTATAATAGAATATGTGGGCTTCCTCAGCTTGGGTCTGGGCTGTGTTTGTTTAAACACAACACCATCCTCTTTGTGGGTGTCTCCAGTGGGCGTCAGATCTCTTGGGAACCCCTCTCAAAGCCGGGGCTTCCGAAGTAGGGTCTTGCTGAGGTCTTTGACCTCCTCAGGGCTATTGACCCGCTCATAGCCCAGCACTGCCATGGGCTGGTAGCAAAACTCCTCCACCTGTTTGATCTGCTGGAAGGTGAGCGCGGTCCGCCAGGCATTGGCGGCCTGAGTGGCATTGCGAGCTGACACCACGAAAGGCTTGGAGGAGGACCCTGAACCACTGGTCATGTTCAGGGCAAACTGCTCCATTTCGGGACTCACCAGCAGCCCCACAAAGTCATACACCCTCCGTAAGGTCTTAACCGGGTCTCCTACCAGATCCTCGTACCTCACCACTAAGTAGTGTCCCTGCAGCCAGTCAGGGGGCTGCAGGGCTGTCTGCAGCGTTTTGGCCATACTGTTGCAGATGACCTCCATTGCGCCCAGGGCATGGTAGTCTGCTGGCCCACCTATACCCTCTTTCTTGGCACCCAGCTTGTGGCCAGCAGCCTCCAGAAAGGGCATGCGGTGGGCTCTGGGATCCCGGCTTCGCACTACCTGTAGGCTTTCCCGGATGAGGCCATGGCGCGAGCGGATACGGGAGCTGGCAACCGCACGAGGATCACGCACCAGGTGGATGACCTTGAGGTCCAGGGCTGGATCTCGAAGCAGCGGCGCCAACACAGCCACATCGAAGACGCGCACACCCTTGATAACCAGCGTGCGATACTTGCGGCACTCCTCCTCGAAGCGTGCCAGGCGTTGAGGTGGGCACTTCTTGCACACGCGGTCGTCCACCAGCCCGACGACCTCCTTGCGGTAGGCGGGACAGAGTGGCGAGGAGCACACCACCTTGTTGGTGGCTGCCCCAAAGATGCCCAGAGTGGTGAGGTTGCGCCCCCCACTGCCAGCGGGGCTATACAACTGGAAAACGGTAGAGAGCGCTCAGCATGTCCCGCGCTGCCCCCTGCAGGGAAACCGCGTCCCCGGGGTACAGTTTTTGCCACACGTGCCACACAGGCTCGTAGAGAAAGAACACTTCAGGGTTCTGGTTGAAGAGCTCGCCGAAGAAGGACGAACCGGAGCGCCACGTGGTGAACACATACACCAACTGCCGCTTGTCCCCTCCACCCCTGGTGCCTCGAGTG